TGGAAGAACATGAAATACAAAATGGTACATTCATATTTCTTCTATGCTTTAGTTTTTCTTCAAATATATACTTCTATAACTAATTTGAAATGTTTATTTTATTCTAGTCCCATTCGATATGTAGTTCTAGCTGATTAAAAAAAGTTGCTTATACGTCTAAATTTTGCTAAAATTATTAAATTTATTCATTCAGTAGGTGTTTCACTAATTGACTATGGTAGATAACATCAATGTTAATGAAAACAGTCTTAAATATGAAACATTGTTTAAAGCATTAAACATAACTTCCATAAATAAAAAGATAAATATTTTCATCCAATCACACTTCTAAATTATTCTACTGCTGTGGAGCAGAATTCTTAATACTGGTACAGCCATTCATATTTAAGAATAAAGTTCAATGCCAATGGTATCTGAATAGTTTTATACAAATTTATACCATAAGAGAAATTATTGCAAGGAACTCTTGAAAAATGGAAAATGATTGTTAGATTAAAATGTTTAAGTTAAACATAAGTGGTTGTTCAGGTATGCTTCAAAATAAATGTGATAAAAGTTACATGTTTTGAACAAAAGTTATCTTACTGATCTTCTAATTTGCAATTTTTTTTTATAGCTAAGTAAAGAATTGGAACTGCAGGTACCAGTTGGACTCAAATATCATCTTCCCTTGGTTTGTGCAATAACACTTATTACCACAGGACTATGTTCTTATTTTATCCTTTCAGCTTTATGCAGATATGGGCCCATTCATTGTTCAATGCGACATTAAAGAAGCTTTTACTATTGAAATCATGGAAAGGCTGTCAAACTGTCCAAACTAGAGATAAGAGCAAGCTAGATCATGTACCAAAAGCTAGGATTAATACTTGGTGGCACATAACTTGCCCTTTTTCAGGATGAGTTATTCCCAACTTGGCCTTTTGGGCCTCTCAATAGCTCATTCATCACTATTGTAATAAAGTTATCCTCTTTGCTTCCACTTTTCCCAACTTTATGGAAAATTCAATTAATATGACCAAAATATAATTTGGGCGTGGTCGTTCGAGCCTGGCTGATTTGTTCTATGATCTATTCATTTGTTTCCTTGGCTGTTCAGGTAGTCCTTGACTTACAACAGTTTGTTTAGTGACTGTTCAAACTTACAAGGTCACTGCAAAAAGTGATTTTGATTGTTTTTCACATTTGCAACTGTTGCGGCATCCCATGGTTTCCTGATCAAAATTCAAATGCTTCTTAATTGACTCATAATCATGAAGGTTGCAATGTTCCACATGATCACCTTTTCTGACCTTCTGACATGTAAAATCAGTGGGGAAGCCAGGTTTACTGGCTTACTGGTGTTACTAACTTAATAACTGCAATGATTCACTTAACAATTTTGGCAAGGAAGGTCGTAAAATGGGGTAAAACACACTTAAGTGTCTCACTGAGCAACAGAAATATGGGGTTCAATTGTGGTTGTAAGTTGAGGACTACTTGATTTTTGAAGAATGTTGTTCAATACCATATTCAAAGTCTTGTTATCCTGCTTCTTCAAAGTCTTGCATTTGCTTCCATAGAGTGTCATAGTTCTAATGTCTGTGAATATAGATAGGAGTATCTTTTTCAAAGGGATGTGGTGGCTCAGTGGCTAACACGTGTGGCAGTTCAGTGGTTTGAATCCCTAGCACCATGTAACGGAGTGACTTGTCCCAGTTTCTGCCAACCTAGCAGTTGGAAAGCATGTAAAAATGCAAATAGAATAATAGGAGCCACATTGGTGGGAAGGTAGCAGCATTCCATGCGCCTCCGGCGTTTAGTCATGCCGGCCACATGACCATGGAGATGTATTCGAACTGCGCGGGTTCTTTGGCTTTGTAATGAAGATGAGCACTGCCCCCTGGAGCTGGAAACGACTAGCACATATATGCGAGGGGAACCTTTTCCATTACCTTATCTTTTTCAAGCACTGAAAAAAATGCTAAACCATTAGCTTTGAAAATGCAGAGAAATAGAAACTTGCTATATTGGTGGAAAATTTGACCAATTTCAAATGTTCTCAATTTACTGTCCATCACTAGAGATACTGCTAGCATGTGCCATTTGTAAGAATTATAAAAAATACTGAATATTTATAAATTTTTATGCAGAAGAGTATATATCTTCAAATGTTCTTGCAAATACTTCAGTTTTCAATCTAAATTCCTGTAATTTAATTGCTTTTCATATGTACTAAATCTGTCTGAAATGAGTTCCCTGTAAAACATTAGTTTTTTAAAAACTTGTCATGTGGTATCTTTCATTACTGAATAACAAATTGCTTGAACATTGGGTCTTTTGTTCTCTGTACAACATGCTATGTGATAACTGAGGCAGAGCTACAGCTACTGCATTACTTCAAGTTCCATTTGAACAATGTTCTGTATTTGCTTGGAGTGGGTTTTTTTTGTCACTGAATTAACTACTTATAAGAAATTGAGGCGTTTAAGGAAACATCAGTTGTAAATCTGCTCATAAATCCAAAATCTTTTAGGATTTTATTGGCTGAAATTTACTGGAAATAAATATAAAAACTTGTATTTACAGGAAAATAAATCTTCCTCTAATTGTAAATATACAATTATAAAAAATTCTTCTGTACAACATTTAGACTGTGTTCACAGGCACTCTGCCTGTATATCAATATTGTAAGTTCTTATGCTTCTTTTTTAGAGTTGGCATGCACAATAATTAGGGAAAGGCATATGTACAACCTCAGTTTCATAGAGAATTCAGTTTTGTTCACATTTGTTTTATATTGACACAAAAACTGTTCATTATTAAACCCTGCAGACATATTTCTAATAAAACCACATAGTTTTAAAGGAACTGGCTAAACCCATTTGACTCAAAAGAAAAGTTTTGCTTGTGGTGATGTAATTAAGAATGACTAACTTAGCCCTAGGCAAATTATCTCCCAACAATTTACCATGTTACTTTGGTAAATGGCAACATACACATTTCTTTACCTCATAATATCCATTCAACTCAGAGGTATAGGGGAATAACAAAGATAGTAGTTGTACTCAGAGCCACAGATCTAGCATTTCACAATATTGGGTCCTTAAAAAAAGGTGAGGTTAGGTACTCTAATGGATTGGGGATTTTGCTGTTCTGTGCTCAAAACGTTAATCTATGTATTTTAAACTGCAGTTAGAAGGAAAAGTAGGCAGAAAGTACCAGACCAGAGACATCAGGTCTAGACAGCTGCTTGACATCTAAATTATGTTATTATTTCATAAACTTAAAATTCTTCTATGGAATGAAAGAGGAAATAGCATGAAGGTGCTACTTGGTTTAAATTCTCAAAAGCAGGAAGAGGCAGAAAGACTTTTATAACAGTCAGCAATGCTGAATGTTTTGTTTCATAACAATCAACTTTTGGATTATCTACAGTATTGGGAATGGACATGTTATTTTTATGGATGATTCAATAAAAGTTAACATGGGGGATGAGATTTTAGGTGACTATTTTTTTCACTAAACATTTCTTCTGTTTTGGCTTGGCCTGCTGGTTATTTCTCTTTTCATTTGATGATTCATTTCCAGGTTTTTTATCTGTGCTTTATTATTCATTTCAGTTTACACAGCCACTAATGGTGATGTTAGTATATATTTAGAAATTAATACATTGATATTTATACACATAGTCCTTAACTTACAACCATTTATTTGGTTATTGCTCAGTTACAACGGTACTGAAAAGTGACTTATGACTACTTTTCACACTTACCATTGCAGTATTCACGTGGTCACATGACCTGAATTTGGGAGCTTGACAACTGGCATGTATTTATAACAGCTGCACTGTGGGGGGAGGGGAAGCCATGTGATCATTACTTGTAACCTTCCGACAAGCAAAGTCAGTGGAGGAAGCCAGATTCACTTAATGACCATATGATTCACTTAATTACAGTGATTCACTTAATAACCATGGCAAAAAGATCATAAAATGGGATAAAACTCACTTAACTGGCTTGCTTAGCAATAGAAATTTTGGGCTCAATTGTGGTCGTAAGTTGAGTACCTGTATTCATTTTGAAGCAATATTTTCTACCTACAAAAAATCTGATTATTGTCAGTGACAGCCACACTGTTAAACCTGATGCTTACCATTCTAATATTTTGGGTTAAATTGGCATATTGCCAACTATATAAAACAAAATGAAATTTACTAAAAATTGGGTGATTCAGTCAGAAGCCTTCTAGAATAATTCCAGTGCAAGAGGAAAGAAATCATAATTTAGCTGAGAAAAATAATTGGGCTTTTAACTTTTTGTTTGAGATGGCACATTTCAGTAGCAATACGGTTTTTTTTTTAATTAAATTGCCATTTTAAAATCATTTTTAAAAATAAGCATACATTTTGGAAAGTAATTGGATAATACAGCCATGTCTTTTAGATTACTTGTTTATGTTCTGTGTTGTAAAATGCATTTTGTTTTTAATTTTGATACTGATATTTTTAAATTTCTGATTTTTTTATATTTGTTACAACTTGGCTGGCTCTGGAAAGAAAGGCATTATAGAAGTAGAAATAAATACATACCAATAAAATCACACACAAATCTCTTGAGCAATAATTATACAGGAAATATTTTTATAATCCATAATAAAACTAACTTCAAAACGACAGAAGACAAAGAATTCAGAAATTAAAACTACATAAAAACAGTAGATTAACACACCGAACGAACAGAAGAAACTTTGCATTCTTGATGATCTCAGCATCTCCTCGACGTTCTCCGTGTATTTGTGCAGCTTACCCAATAATTTTCTTTCACGCCAATAGTCTTTACAGATACCTTGTGGGAAGTGCAGTAACACCGCCGTCCCTCCATGCAACAATAGAACCGCTAAGTCTCAGCAACTGCGCTGCGTCGCGACTCACACGCCTCCCCTCTCCCTCCTTCCTTCTTTCTGTCTATCTGGGGCGTCGAGCTCAGCGCTTGAAGCCGCCTGCCCGGCTCCGCCTCTTCCTCTCCCGAGCTGTGACCACGCGCGGCGATTCCGCTTACTCCCTTGGCCGCCCGGTGGGCCCTCCCCGCCATTATAGGAGGCCGCGCCCTGCCCCAAGCGGTCAGGCCGGTAGCGAGAAGCTTGGCTCCCGTCCGGTGAGTCTGAGCGGCGTGGTGGCTGCGGGTTCTTCCTGGAGGAGCGGAGACCTGGCTGGCGCGCAGGAAGGGCAGGGGGATCGCAGCTTCCTCTTCTGGTAGGGGGGAAAAAAAAAACACCCAAACAACACATACGCTAAGCAATATTCAGGCCCGGAGGCTGGGTTTCCCGGAGTCTGCCTCTCCCCTTATGCGCGCCCGGGAGGAAGTGGAGTTGTGGGCCCGCTGCAGGGAGGGGGCTGTCGCTACTTTTCCCTTGAGGGCGGGCAGGTGGGCGAAAAAGCGGCGGTGTCTGCGGGAGTCCTCAGCCGGCCCGTCTCGCGGCTGCTCCCTCCTCTCGCAATTGAAAGGCTCGGGCTGGTGTAGTTTTTGGCGCATTTTACCACAGACCGTGTAGGGGCGAAGGGTTAGTTCCTACTTATAAGGAGCTGTTCATAAACTTGAGTGTCTCTTTTCCTCGTTTTTTTAATCCCTGGAAGCAAACAGAAAACCTTCGTTGCCTTTGGAGGCTGCTCCTCAGATAAGGGCTTGGGGCAAAGATGGTCCCGAACGAGGCCGGTTGGGCGGGTTAGGTTCTTTCACCCTTGTCCCCGGAAGCAGGTGGCGCAGAGTAGTTGTAGCTGGCGGGCAAATGAGCGCTATTGTAATGGTACTGTAAGGAAGAGCCGCCCGCTGCTTCGTGTCGCTTACCTGCCCTTTTCGATTGGGGAATAGGCCTGCCTTTTTATCTAGAGGGCGATCGCAGGTAAGCGTCTCTTGTTTCTTCCTGCTCTGCTCTTTGTTATCAGATTTCTTAGGAAGAGTAAGAACCCCTGGTAGTTGGAGGTATCAGGAAGAACATTCCTCTCCATATCTGTTCCTGTGGAACAATGGCAAGAAATGGATTATTACACTCTTGTCGTCCTCTTGATTTTCTCATAGGTGAGCTTTGAAACAAAACAAAATGTAGATAATCTTTGAAACAAAATGTAGAATTATTTGATCCAGTGGAGTACCCGTAATTCCAAGTTTTTAAGAATTGGAAGGCAGTGACCCTCAGTCTTTTTGTATCCACACCTGATCTTAGAATATTTCTGAACATACTTAAAATGGGAGTGTCATAGTTGTGCTCTTTCTTTCAGGTGATTAGGTTGGGTATGGTGTTTTTAGATCCTGAGCACCTTAGAGGAGGGTGTGTTGGAATGAGAAAAAGCTTCATTTACCTTCTTCCTCTTTCTTTGCTTAACTGACAGGAGATCAAGATGTTGAAATAAATTTAAGGATGATATGTCATTATTTGTTCAAAGAGAGGAGCAAATATTTGCATGTGCAATTCCATCCTGATATCTTAAAATATTTATTTCAAGCTTAGTTTATAATATTTTAATTTAGCTGTTATTAAACCTTTAATGTTTAATCTTTAGAGTACTGTTAAAAATTAAAGAATGAACAGTTTACTAAACATTATTTTTAGTTGCATACAGTTTTACTGAAACTTACAAATGCAATATATTATAGAAGTCTTTTGTCCTTTGTAAGCTAGCTAAATAAGATAGAAAATTGCATATTAACAGAACATTTTGACTGACAGATGATAGACCAGAACTCAGTCTTTCCTAGCCCTGTATTACAATAATAATCTGTTTTACTACTGCAGCTTTCTGACTTGAAAGTTCTTGCAGCAAATGCTGTAGAAATTGATTCCTATATTGGGCTGGACTATGTGGTCTCCCATGTTTCCTCTAGTTGTTACGTTCTGATTACTTAATATTATGATGTACAGAGGTGTTTTGTCCAAATGATTGCTTATACATTATACAGAATCACTTTATCATTGTTTAAATCATAATTGGCTATGCTCATATAAATGCATTCTACTACATGAGTGAGTGATGAGTTGTGTAATTAAATAATTATGCTTTTAATGTCTTGTGATCGTTGGATTTATGCAGTATATTACACCATAATATAGTTTATTTGATTTTGACTGAGCATGTTATTGAGGATGAGATGGTTGGATAATGTCATTGATGCAGTGGACAGATTCCAGGAGATAGTGGAGGACAGGGAGAGGGGGCAGCGCTGTGGTGTGCTGTAGTCTATGGGGTCTCAAAGAGTCATATATGACTTAGTGACTGAACAACAACAAACATGTTGTTTGAATCCAGCCATTACAAATTATTAAATAAACCATAGTAAGACAAGTTGTGATTTAGCATGATGTATGAATTGGACATGTAAGCATGTATGAATGCATATTAGAGAGGAAGTATGTATGAAAGGACTAAATGTCAGAATTCTAGAGTACTGAAACACAACTGAAAAGTAGTTTGCATGGCTACTATTTTAAAAAATGGGTCAACTTTGTTTTTCTATGCACTTATATTTTGCATATCTGTATCTACCACAAAGGTGTTTTTCAGTTGCCTTTTGAAAAGCACCTTTACGACAACCATGACCTGGATATTTGAGATTCTCTGTAGACATATCTGTATCTGTTACACGATGTCATCATTATTTTATGATGTGGCTCAGACCTACACATAGAAGGACAAAAAGATCCTTTAGATTCTGTGTAACGCTGAGTAGTTACACATGAATGAAAATCTATGTGAATAAAGATATATGTGGATTAGAAGAAACAAATGAATTTAATTTCTGACTGCATTACTTATGGTTTTTTATATCTGAATATTTGTAGAGGTATAAAACTGAAAACCACAGTTGTATATTTGCATGGTTAGCCAATATAATAACAATGTAAATAATAATGTTGACCACAAATTTTTGAAAACTTTATTTTGTGTAAAATTCCAATGTATAGTTGAATGCATTTTGGTCTCTCGGAATGTATTATTCAGCTCTAAGTAGGGTATTCAAATTCTAAATAATCCTTGTAGGATTACTTATTGTGGTTTTGTTCATGTTTGTATTGCTTCTGTATTTATACCTTAATGTTATACCTACAACACTATATATAAGCATTTATAGCTTGGAGATATCAGGAAAAAATATAGTTGATTTTCAAAAATTGATGAATAGCTATATTCTATATTATATTCTATATTATGAATAGCTATATTTTGTTAACAACTTTAGTATTTATGTGCCACTCAGACTTGATTTGAATAGTGAGATGTACAGCATATAAATGTAATAAATAAACTTCCTTCCATCATCTTTATGTGTAATTTATTGCCATAAGCCAGAAATTTTGGATAACATAACATTTGTATTCTCTTGAGGGGGTTTTGTAGTTAGGTCAAAAAGAGCTGTATAGCTCTGATGAATATATTAAGTATTTTGTGGAGGAAAACATTACCTTTAAATTGCCCCAAATATTTGTTGCAAAAAAAAGAATGAAACTAATCATGATATTGAAGATTTTTGAGGGTTAAGGTGCTGATCTAGAAATCATGAGAACATTGGTTCTAGTTCCACCTTAGGCATCAAAGCTGTCTGGCTGACTTGGACCAGGCATACTTTCTCAGCCCAACCCACTTCACAGGATGGTTGTTGTGGGAAAAATATTGTTAATTGTTCATCTATTGATGGCTTGTCTTTAATTTGTAATCTCTGCAGTTATATCAGGAAGTCAGAACAGTTCTGATGTGCTGTTGGGGCCTAACTGACAGTACTTAACATACCAGTTGCCATCTTTCAGAGATTAATATAGTTATAGCATGTAAATCCAAATCAATTTGACAGCTTATATGGTTAAATTTTTTAAAAATCCATGGAAGAAGCCCAGTAACCAAATAACTGTGGAAGATAAAGGGGAAATTAAGAGTTAAGCAAATTTGCTATTTAAATAGCTACTTTGGAATAAGTATAAAGCTACATTATGTGCAATTGTTGCAAATTGGGTTTCTCTATATTGTCATGCATTCATATTATATACCTTTATTTTCAATTAAATGGAACATAATTCAAATTGTTTTAATCAAGTGTCATAAGTATTTCAAAGTAAAGAAAACCACAGCCATGAGAAAAAAAATATTTCACAGCTGTACTTCCTCCTAAAAATAGCTAATAATATTAAGCCTTGTGTGGATAATTTATTTGCTTTTAACTACTAGCATGCTATAATGTTGAACTGATTAAAATATAAGGTTAATTCTGGTTATTAATTAACTAATTAATGATAGATTCCATATTTGCACATTTGCCCCCTTGCTAAAAATTATTTCTAACACCCTCCCTCCCCCCAATTTTCAGATTTGTGGAGAGTGGTGAAAAATTTGAGTCACCCAACATGTGTGTTCCCAGCCATGGTTGAACAAGATGCCTTCTTGTTTTCTTCTTCCTCCTTGTTTCAGCTCTCATACTTTAAACAAATGATTTTTTGGTGGTCCATTTGGCATCATATTTTTGCATTTTTATGCTGAAATATATATTAAATAAGTTGTCTTTAAACAAAAGTTATATAGATTAGTGGCCAAAATTGTGGAAACCTTTTGGAAAAAGTGTATTTTTAAGGTTTGATATGGCTAATAACACCACTTTTTTTGGAGCAGTACCATAAAATTTCAACGGAAAGATTTAATCACGAATGTAATGCAACAAAGTTTGTTCAATTATCTGTATTCTATGAAAAGTTACAGCCAAATAATCAGAAAAAGGAAGCACAACTTGTTAGGTTGATATCAGGTAGCTTTCCTTCATCTGATCGTAGCCAATGAGCATGAGTGTTGCTTTTAGAATTGAGAGCCAATCAGGTGTCATCTTGTTTTGGCAATGAGCCAATCAGATCACAGGATTCAGTTATTGATGTCCTGTACTAAAGCTGAGAGGAGGACATTTGTCAGTGTGTTATATGATTGCTATCAAGTTGGTTGGGTTATTTCATTTAGTGAGCTTGTAAAACGTAATAAAATTAAAGTAATGTTGCAAAGAGTTGATTGGGCGCCCAGAAAACAATGTAAAATAGTATTATTAAGTGAACAAGGCTACAGTTATAAAGAAATTAGAAGAAAAATTGGTGGAAACTTAACCAAAGGTGGCATTTCTAAGTTTTTGAAGAGGTATAAGGAGATTAAGTTATTACAAAACTACACTGGTAAAGGCAGAAAAAGGTGCAAACAGCAAGTGATGATAGAATAATTAAAAAACTATGCCT